CCACTATACACACAGGCAATTGCATGGCATACACTACAACAAAGTTAGATTAGCTGAAGTTACCTCTGTCCTACACAGAGACTTAGATGGGTAAAAAAATGATATAGAAAGATTATGAATATATTCTATAAAGACATAAAATATAGACATTGTATCATGCCAGAATTTGAATAACTATAGCAGTTTTTGCCTGAGGATTTTTCTTGGGCACTCTGACCATTAGGAGTTAATAACACACTGATTGGTACATGGAAGACTTCTTGGGATGGCTTGAAGATTGTTTTGGTCAAATGCCCTTGTAGTAACAGAAGTAACCAGCCTGAGAACAACTTGCCATATGTCTCTAGGTTCTAAAAATTTTGGTTATGGTGTTAATGAGTAAAAATGATAACAGAGTTATCTAATAAAACGATGTCAAACTTGAAGGGAAAAAACTGGAAATGATAACTCTATTCTGTCAGAGTTTATTAATGATGACTAAAAGATGAGCAAAAGGAACTGAAACACATGTTAAAAAACAAAAGAAATGATGTGATCTATGCTTTGAAACAACACGAATATATCCCTACTTACTAAATGCTGTATCAATAATGAAGTACTCTGGTATCCAGTCTGTCAGAATACAAGATTCTCTCAACTATAACGGCCTGACTCACTTCCTTCCTCTCCAACTCCTTACATCCTCTGCTGGGGCTTGTCCACCGTCGGGGATGGTTCCTAGCAACTGGTACCCAGATCATGTAACTGCAGAAATAATCTACTGGCTGTAAGGTGGGACTTCATCCAAAGTGTTTTAGAGGGTCCCTGGATAAGGAATAGACCAAGAACTAGAGTGGGATTAAAAATTAAGAAATATACATAAGTCATAGGCCACAAAGAGTTAAAGGAAGATTCTCTATAGATATAAAACTTTTTAAAACTGGGTCATAATGAGTCTAAATAAAAAGACTCATTATAGATACTCATTACTACTATAAGAACTGTTGTATATACAGCTGCCTTAGTACAACAGGTTCATACTTTGGAGCATGTTAATTGGCTATCGAAATATGTTACCTAAAAATTGTGAAAAATCTAGAAGACAGGGGCCTTCAGGGTCATTTCAATGCTTTGAAGGAAGCTGTTCTTTTACAGAAAATCAGTTGAACAATATTAATCTTAGACTTAATGGTGTGGGACCATGTATTAGGCCAATTATATTTTAAATAAATGCTTACTGGCAAGTATCCAGGCAGTAAGTATAGGAAGGACAACCAGACAGGAAGTAACAGTGGGTCAATGAGAACAGGAGAATTCTGGGAAGAAGGAAGCCATTTCTCAGCAGTCCTCTCTTGATCAGAGAAGAAGCAAGATGTGACTGCCTTGATGAAAAAGGTACTGAGCCATGTGTCAAACACAATTAAGAATAATGGATTAATATAAGTTATAAGAGTTAAATTAAAGCCTGAGCTAATGGGCCTATCAGTTTATACTTAATGTAGGCCTCTGTTTGATTTGTTTGAGACTTAACAACTGTGGAAACCAGGCAGGACAGAAACTCCGAACACAAATGGTGACCAACGTGTGGATGACTGCATCCACATAAAGCCTGACAGAGCTTGGGAAGTAATTAGAGACAAAAAAGAATAGAGTTCAGCACAGTTTATTGATAGCATTTTATCAAATGGGTTCTCCTTGCTAGATTCAAGTGATCTCATTTAAGAGAGGCTTACTGACTCAGCTTTAGCTGCATAATATTTCAGCTCTTTTAAGAGGTCCTGTCATAAAACACTTAAATGATGTTGATGGAAAGCTGACCACATGCTTTTTGGGTTTTCAGCCTTAGCAGGAAAAAAGCAGCACCATTTTAAAATGCCAACTTTCTGGGCCATCCTGCCAGCACAAACTCTGATTGTTTCAGGCAGGAGGTTCTGCTACAGAGCTTTTGAGTGTGGTTTTGGAGCAGATTGCTGCAGCTTGCTTGCTGGCAAGGACCTTGAAATGCCATAAAGTTGTGGAAATAAACATAAATACAGCTGGAACCTGAGCCATGAGGCTGGAATCTCAGAAAGCTAAGGAATGTGCTGGATCCAGCCATCAAAGCCATGGCTTTAATCTTACCCATATTGCTTTGCAAATTAAAGACTCATGTGGTTAGAAAAAAAGAGAGAGATACAGTAAAGATAGATTCAAAGAAAAAACCCTCTAAATGGTTTACTGTGTGTTTAAAAATATTTGTAGGCTTGGGAGAAAAAAAGAAAAATGGAAAAAAAGAGAGTAGTTGGGTGTGGTGGTACACACCTTTAATCACAAAACTTGGGAGACAGGGGCAGGCCCACCTCTGTTAATTCAAGGTGTGGTGGCACACAACTTTAATCCCAGCACTTGGGAGGCATAGGCAGGAGGATCTCTGTGAATTCAAGGACAGACTGATCTACAGAGGGAGTTCCAGGACAGCCAAAGATACACAGAGAAGCTGTCTCAAAATGCAAAAAATTATAAGTAAAAATAAAAGAAATAAAGGTTAAAATAAGCCATGTAAAGATGAATAATACACAGAGAGTCTGAATACTGTATGTTATTATGTTCTCTTTGAATTGTTTGAATACTGAGGAAAGAGGAACAGCTGCTAAAAGATATTTACTTTTAAATGCTGCTAAATTAATCCAAGATAGATATTTTGAAGTTCCATGACTTCAAAATTGAATTCAAAGGTATGTTATTTGGAGAAAAAGATTTGCCTTTGTTTTCATAGAAAATGAGAGGCTGTGGATCCATTATGAGTTAAGAAAAATCAGGTTTGATCAAGGAAGACCCTGTAAGAAAACTTTGATAGTAACGATGGCCCAGATGTCTGAGTTTTATATCCAGAACAGAATCAAGATGCTGTCTGAGATGATCAAGTCTCACAGGATACTCCAGTCAGTATTTGATCATAACACTACATTTTCTTTAGGTCCCCATAAGATTACCAGTGCCCCTAACCAGCAGGAAGTATCTGGAATACTATGGCCACATTCCCAAATAATAAACTATGGATGTTTTTGCTTAAAAAAAAAGAGGGGGAATTGGTCCAGGAGAATGGTCTGTATTCTGTCAATCATATTTTAAACAAATGCTGATTGACCAGTATTCAGCCAGAAAGTATAGGCAGGACAACCAGTCAGGAAGTAGAGGAAGGATAATGAGAAGAAAAGGATTTGGGGAAGAGGGAAGTCCCTCTGCAGTCCTGCCCAGACACTGAAGAAGTTAGATGTAACCTGTCCTGCTGAAAAAGGTACTGGGCCATGTGGCTAACATATACTATAATAGTGGGACAATGTAAGTTATAAGAGTTAATAAAAAGTGTAAGCTAGTGGGCCAATCAGTTTTTATAACTTAATGTAGACCTCTGTGTGATTTCTTTGGGATTTAATGATTGCAGCAACTGGGCAAGACAGAAAACCCTGACAACAGGGGAGTGCTGTGGGACCATGGTCTGTATTCTGTTAATTACATTGTAAATAAACATTGATTAGCCAGTAGCCCAGCAGGAAGTATAGGCAGGACAACCAAACAGGAAGTAGAGGCGGGTCAAGGACAACAGGAAAATTCTGGGAAGAGGACACAGTTGTGAGCCTGCCACAGAGGAAGCAAGATGTGACTGCCCCACTGAAAAATGTAATGAACCATGTGGTTAGCCTAGACAATAATAATAGGCTAATATACGTTATAAGAGTTAATAAGAAACATGAGCTAATTGGGCCAGTTTTTTTTTTTTGTAACCTCTGTGTGATTTTCTTTGGGACTGAATGATTGTGGGAACTGGGCAGGACAGAAAACTTCAGGCAACAACTTAGTGTTCAGTTTCATTCTACCTTTAAATGGATATATATGACTGTTCTTCCATATAATAACACAGAATATGATTGGGATCAAATTCAGGCATATTTATAGGACAGTTGAAATAATTCTGCTTTATCTATGGACATAGATTCCTCCCTTCACCAGAAAAATCTCTGACATGCTCACTCCATGTACAAAATATGCTTGTCACTGCCTCCTTCATTATCTAAGGTGATATTGAGTATATATTTAAAGAATGAATAGTAAGCTGCACCTTAGTTGATTTCCAGATTTCCATGAAAACCATTATTTTCTTTTGTGTTGTTTGATAAAGCTGTAGCAGTGAACACTGAAGATAAAGTGAGGTGATAGACAAGCACAACTGATTGATGATATTCACAAGTATTCAACCATCCAAAACTCCAAACACACTGTAGAACAAAGATGACCACCAGGTTTCTATCAAATGGCCTGTGAGAGGTAATGATGTATCATGATAGTTCTATGTTCTATAAAGGTTTGAAACTGTGGGGCAGGTTTCTGAGACTGGGAGGGAAGTAAATATGGGACCAGGGAATAATGTATGATCTCAGAACCTACCTCAATTAACATATACATATATTGATTTGATTAATGGTTTTAGTGAAAAGTAATGTAATCATACTTGACTAATTTACAGGAATTATATTCCTGCATAGTGCATTTTGACACATATCTAGCACTCTAAGAGACTGGAACTTATGCAGGACTACACAGCCAGAGTTAACTATAAAACTGAAGTCATGTAACATTTAAGTCTCTGAAGGACTTTTGTTTTCCCAGCAGTTATTATTTGGACTTTACTGTTAAAAATCATATTTCAGTTTATTAAAAACTCCCTTCAAAATGCCCCATTCTCTTAGAATCCAGAGATGGATTTTTTATCATACTTCATAATCATAGTTTTTACTTTTTATTATTTTATTAATGAAGAAACATTTCAATGAATGTGGTCATTGGTGAAGAGATTGTGAAGGTATGGTGTACACTAAATCAGCATCTCTTCCTTCATGATATAATTTTGAAAATTTGTTGCAAAAAAAGTGAGAGACAAAACAACATTCAGAATAATTGTTTTTGTGAATGTTTTAAAGCTTGTCTTCTCTGTCATGTCAATCCCAGGGCAGCTTCCTGCTCGTATAGGGTTTCTGACACACTCAGGATGTGGTTATAACACTGTGTCTTGTACAGTAGTAGACCGCAGAGTCCTCAGATGTCAGGCTGCTGAGCTCCATGTAGGCTGTGCTGGAAGATGTGTCTGCAGTCAGTTTGGCCTTGCTCTGGAACTTCTGATTGTAGCCAGTACCACCACTTCCAGGATGAATAGCTCCAATCCACTCCAGGACCTGTGCAGGACTCTGCTTCACCCAGTTCATTTCATAGTTAGTGAAAGTATAGCCTGAAGCCTTGCAGGACAATTTCACTGAGGTCCCAGGTTTCCCCAGTTCAGGCCCTGACTGATGCAGCTGTACTTGGGAGTGGACACCTGTGAAGAAAAACACAGAGTAGATTGTCAGAGACATCATCACCTCAGTCCCTGTCTTCTTTTCAGGTTTGGAATTAGAAATCATTTACCTCTCGTTACTAACACAAGGACAAGAATGGTACAGCTCCATCCCATGGTGTGGGCCTTGTGTGCTCAGTGAATATGGAGAAGACACTGATCATATGTTGTTGTCGGGTGTGGACATTCCTATATTTACCATAATAGACAAAGGCAATTTGCATATTCAAGAACAGGGGACTTCTTAAATAAGCAACTAGTCCTGTTTGAAAAGGTGGTGGAGGACACTTTACTCAAACAACAGTATGATGAAGGTCAAGCCCTAATCCTGTCTAAGGAAATGCATCTCACACCATTCCCTCAGCTCTGCAGATGCTGTGGCTGTAACAACAGGACCTAAGCTGTCAATAGATTTCTGGCCTCAGGCATTTGCTCTACTTTGTGACAAGGTTGTCTGACAGATTTATGGAGAGGTTTTGATGATATTGGTGGAGACTGGAAATTTCAAAACTTTCTAAATTTTGAGAAATTATAGCATAATTTTGTATATATATATATATATATATATATATATATATATATATATATCAGAAGGTTTCATACAAAATCTCACTGAAATGACCTAAATAAACATACCTCAGAAATATTTGCACATTGATGTTTAATGCAGCACTATATACCATAACTTAAGGAGATAAACTTCATGTCTGTCAGCAGAAGATTGCATTAAGAAGACATGGCTGTATGTGTGACACAACAGGACTAGATCATCTGAAGAATAAGGAACTTATATCACCTTTAGGAAATCAATGTAACTGGAGATAACTGGATTAATGAAAATAATGTCTGAAATACAGATACTATATGAAACTCTAAGTAGTTTTTATATATTGAATAAGTACACAGAACTATTTGTACAAATATCTAACAACTTAGAAATGAAAATGTCTAGCAGAATATTGCAAAAACAGGAATATCTATAAAATGAAGTGTAGGAGTTGTGGGGGAAATATGCACAGTGAAAATGGACAAGTATAAACATATATATGTATATATATAATTGTTATCTTAATTTTTCAAAATAATTGTGCTTATTGTATAAATTTTTTTATTCATGTATAAAATATATTGTCATCATGTCTATCCCCAACTATGTTCCCCTGACTTCTTTGGTAACCTTCCAAGAAAATCTCTTTTTTGTTTCATAATAGCAGAGTAAGTCCAAACTGTGCTATCTATACACATATAGGTGTGTTATCCCAAAGTAAAGAAGGTGAAGAAGGCCCCCCTAGAGACCTTCCCAAAAGTTATTATACTTTTCTAATCAGTTATCCATTACCAATAGACCCAAAACTTGGCGTTGGCCCACAAGGAGTCCCTGCTCATCATGTTGCAATATTTCTTTAATTTTTAATCCTTTTCTTATAAAGTGCAACAAAATCAAAGTTTCTCCATACTCTTCTCTCTCGCTCATACTTCTGCTCTCCAGCAGATGCATCCTGCTCTGTCTTCCCTCAGAAAAAAAGTATACGTTCCAGGAACATCCATAAAATATGGCATAGCAAGCTAAAGTAAAACCAGGCAAATACCATATCATCATCCTGGAAGAATCAACCCAATAGGAAGACAAGTGTCCAACAAGTAGGGCAAAGAATCAGACAGACCACATTTCCAGTGTTAGTAATCCCCAAACCATGCAAAGATATTCAGCCATAACAGGTATGCTGAGGACCTAAGACACCCCTACACAATCCTTGATTTCCACAAACCCCCATGAGTCCTCATTAGTTGATTATGTGGACAGTGATCTCATGGTGTCTATGGGACCTCTGGATTTTACAATTTTTCCTCCTACTCCTTAGTAGGACTCCATGAATTCCACATACTATTTGGCTCTAGGACTATGAATCTGCTCCTATCAGTTGCCTGGATGTAGTCTCCTTGGTCTCAATGATGAAGACTCTGCTAGAGTCACAACACACTCTCCAGGCAGTACAAGCTAACTGTAGGTTTTGCTGCTGGTTTGGTGTCCTAACACCTCCACTTTAGACCTTGCATGGTCACATACGGTATTCTATTCAGGAAAACTGGTACAATGGAAAATCTATGCAATCTATGGTGTTAATCCTGTCAAAGACTCCTAGTAATGGGAGACACAGAGCCTGAGCTGGCCATTTTTTAATATTTTTTAAAGAAATTGTTACATTGTATTCATTGGTGACAGCAAGGCACAAACAATCCAAGATGCATATGAGAACCTTGGAGGGCAGTTTATAAAATTTAGTTCTTATTTCTACCAAGTAGATACAAAACAATTCAAACAATATTGACAACCTTACAAGTAGACATCTTTGCTCACTCAGTTACTTAACAGACTCTCATGCTGTAATGTTGACTTGCTTGATTTGTTGAAACGTTGTGCTGGTAACTGTAGATTCTGAGAGTTCATATGTATAGTAACTATGCCAGGTCCTGAGGACAACATTTTTTTTTTACTTTCTTTTAGTTTTATTGAGAAAAAAACAATTTCTGCCTCCTCCCCGCCTCACACTCCTCCCCCCTCACACTCCTCTCCCTCTCCCCCCACTCCTCTCCCTCTCCCCCCACTCCTCTCCCCCTTCCTCTCAAGTCTGAAGAGCAGTCAGGGTTCCTTGCCCTGTGGAAAGTCCAAAGTCCTCCCCCCCCCCATCCTGGTCTAGGAAGGTGAACATCCAAACTGGCTAGGCTCCCACACAGCCAGAACATGAAGTAGGATCAAAACCCAGTGCCATTGTCCTTGGCTTCTCAGCAGCCCTCATTGTCCGCCATATTCAGAGAGTCCGGTTTTATTCCCTGCTTTTTCAGTCACAGTCCAGCTGGCCTTTGTGAGCTCCCAATAGATCAGCCCCACTGTCTCCATGGGTGGGTGCACCCCTCTTGGTGCTGACTTCCTTGCTCGTCTTCTCCCTCCTTCTGTTCCTCATTGGGACTTTGGGAGCTCAGTCCAGTACTCCAGTGTGGGTCTCTGTCTCTATCTCCATCCATCGCCAGATGAAGGTTCTATAATGATATGCAAAATATTGATCAGTATGGCTATAGGATAGGATCATTTCAGGTTCCCTATCTTCAGCTGCCCCAGAAACTAACTGGGGACCTCGCCTGGGCACCTGGAAGCCCCTCTAGGTCCAATTCTCTTCCCAACCCTAAGATGGCTCCCTTAATTAAGATATGTGCTTCCCTGCTCCCCTATCCAACCTTCCTTTATCCCAATCATCCCTTTGCCCCAAGTTCTCCCCATCCTACCCTTCTCACTTTTCTCTCCCCATCTCCCCTTACCCCCTCCCCCCCCCCCTTAAGATCCCGATTTTTGCCTGGCAATCTTGTCTACTTCCCCTACCCAAGAGGATAGCTATATGTTTTTCTTTGGGTTCACCTTCTTATTTAGCTTCTTTAGGATATCCAATTATAGAGTCACTGACCTTTATTTAAGTCTAGAAACCAATTATGAGTGAGTACATCCCATGTTCATCTTTTTGGGTCTGGGTTACCTCACTCAGGATAGTATTTTCTATTTCCATCCGTTTGCATGCAAAATTTGAGAAGTCATTGTTTTTTACCGCTGAGTAGTACTCTAATGTGTATATATTCCATACTTTCTTCATCCATTCTTCCATTGAAAGACATCTAGGTTGTTTCCAGGTTCTGGCTATTACAAATAATGCTGATATGAACATAGTTGAACAAATGCCCTTGTCAGATGATCGGGCATCTCTTGGGTATATTCCCAAGAGTGGTATTGCTGGGTCCAGGGGTAGGTTGATCCCAAATTTCCTGAGAAACCGAAACACTGCTTTCCAAAGTGGTTGCACAAGTTTGCATTCCCACCAGCAATGGATGAGGGAACCCCTTCCACCACAACCTCTCCAGCAGAGGCTATCATTGGTGTTTTTGATTTTAGCCAATCTGACAGGTGTAAGATGATATCTCAAAGTTGTTTTGATTTGCATTTTCCTGATCGCTAAGGAGGTTGAGCATTTGAACTTCATCTGTTCTGAGGACAACATTTTATGGCTACTACCCCATATTGTGGTTCTTAAATTTGATCCCATCTTTTTTGTGAAGGTCCCTGAGTTTTGGGTGCAAAGTAGATACAGATGACTCATCTGTGGATGAACACTTAGTCTTCCATTCTTAGCACTTTGACCAGGTATGAATGTTTACATTAGTTATTACCCACTGTACACAGAAGTTCTTGTGATCATGGCTAGGAGCAGGACTAATCTATTGGTTGTAAAATAAATATTTATCTTGCAATTTGACAACATGACTATTAGCAATAAAACTTCGGTAGGTTCTACTAGGGTCTATGTCATTGCAAGCTTTTTGACATGTTTACCTGGGATATATACTTACAATAAATCAATCAATAAATATAATTAGAAAAAAAGTTGATCACCACATAACTCTCAGGCACTAGTGGGTATATCTAACTAGAAGGCTGTTGTTGAAGACTACAAGATCTGTAACTTTATATGCTCATTGATGACCTTTCTCCCAATGCAGACCTTCCTACATTAGGAAAGGAAGCCAAAGGGAGAATTTCCCAATCCATTTCTGGTTGGTTTTTCTATGGTGTACAATAATACAGTCCTTATCTCACAGTGAAATGCAGTTCATAACAACTTTAATGTTCTATTTTTACCTCAGAACAACTATGAATAAGAAAATAAAGGATAACAAATGCATGCTTGGTTTTGGAGAAAGGATGATCCTCATGCACTGTTGATGACAGTGTACATTAGTGTCCTGACTTTAGAAATTCCATCATAAGTAATCAAGAAAACTATTTTGTGCTCTAACTTTATCTCTCCAAGTTTATACCTGAGACTCTACATCTTACAGCAAAGATACTTGCACATCAATATTTATTGTTACTCTATTCACAGCAGATAGGAAATGGAATCAACCTAGATTTCCAACAAAGGACAAGTAGATAACGAAAGCTGGTCACATAAACAATGGGCTATTACTCAGTAGTAAAACAAAAATCAAGAACTTTATAAGTAAGTGGTTGAAACTGGAAAAAATATGCTGAGTGAGGTCACCCATGTCCATGAAGATTAATGCTTTATGTTCTCACTTATATGTGATTCCACTGTTTGAATATTTGCTTTTT